AATTTTGTTTGGTCTGTTAATAGAAGAGAATAAAGCAAATACTGTCATTAGCTATGAGCGCTCACACGCACGCGCACACACACAAATTAAGATGGAAAAGAGACTAGAATTTCTCTTGGAGAAATGACAGCTCATCCACAATGATGATATTCATACATGTGGTAAGAAAAACATATAGTACGGGGGCAGGGTTCTCTTCTTATCTCTGCAGGAAAACACCCATCTTCAAAAAATTCAAGGGACCCTGGATGTTTAAGTACTGACAGATGGAAACTATTTACAACCCAATAAGAATCAACAAGAAAATCAAACAGGTCTCGTAAGTAAAATTATTCTACTCTTATATTTAAATATGTATTAATGTGCATTTATTCATAAATATATCGAGCTGGTTTTGAAGTTGGACTATGGCTCAGTCCCTCTCCAATTCTAAGCCTGTTGGTAAGAGAAAAACCCAGAGTTTCTGGAGTTTCTGTCTCATGTCAAGAACCATGATATGGGACAGAAAGAAATATGAGTGTAGAAAACATCTTTGCTTTTTTTCATATCTATCATACTTTTCATTGAATATATCTATCATGCCTTTCATTGAATATATATGTGTGTGTGTGTCTATATATGCCTATATGATTAATGTTTAAGTCTTTCACAATGAACAATGAGTTTTTCCTGAAGTGACATTTGAAGTTTCCAGGAAGAAGATGGGGCCCCATAACAACAACTCCACCTTATTGATATGACGTCATGATACTGATAGTGCTACTACAAGACCTGCTTTGGGTACCAGCTGCACAAGACAGTTCCAACTTGGTTAGCTGAAATGGTGCACATCTTATACAACATTTTGGCCAGACCTGCACAAAATACTCAGAGACTATTTGCAATTTTAAAAGACATTGATCTTGAAATTTAACCATCATTTTACTTTCACAGGATCCCCCAGAAAGAATGTCACCCCCATGACAGGTGGAAGTAATTCTAGAGGACGAAGTCCCCTCTCCCAGTAAAGTTTGCCCTTGGGTTTAGGGACATCATTTAGGGGTTGATTATAATTAGTATACGGTTGAGGGTTGGGGGAGGAATTTTATAAGCTCAGGGATCATTTTGAAAAAAAAAAGGAGGGATGATGGGATAATAGATTTGTTAATTGTGAGTTACTGTTTTTAGACAAATATATTGGTATCGATTCTTGTATATTGATACAAAGTTAAATTATATTGACTATGCATGCATGTTTCTGCCTCTGTTTAAAATATTTTTTATGTATTGACATATATTGTATTGATATATATATTGTATATATTTACCATATTGCAGTGTACATTTCTACCTCTGATTAAGATACTTATATATTGTTTGTGTATTGATATATATTTACCATACTGCAATGTATATTTGTACATTGTTTATATTTGGAGGTCATTGCCCTCATTTGTTTCACAGTCGTTTATTGTCTTAGTCTTTAAGTTAGATAGATATTGAGAATTATATAGATTAATAGTCA